CCCCCCCCCCCCCCCCCCCCCCCCCCCCCCCGTCGCAAAAAATGATACCGAAAAGAAGAGTAATTTTTGCAGTTCCAGGAATTTGTTTTTGCAGGTTGCTACTGTTCCACGAATACACACGCTAACTATTGGCGACTACGAGATCGAACCTCCAGAAATCTCCCCGTTGCCACTGGAGCTTGTGAAAAAGGGACATGTATATGTTTGCGAAAGGTGCCTTGACTTCAAAGAAAGCAGCGAAGTACTGGAAAGGCATATTGTTAGTATTCTTTGCATTTTCTTTTTTTGAAAAATTTTTATTTTTTCTATATTGGCAATCGGCCAGCGTCACTATCAGTGCTTAGAATTCATGAGAAGAAAAGATGAGCACTCAATTGCCGCTCAAAGAAAAACTGGTGCTTGTTGGAAAGGCTTAGCATTGCTGAGCAGGCTACGGGTATATTCCAGTATATTCGGAGTTTCTCATCGCTAGAACCTCGGGCATTCCTTGTGATCTTGAAGTCCTCTTTTTTTAGAAAATTTGTTTTCAAACAGAACTGAAATTTGTTCCATAAATGTAACACATTTGCAGGAAAAATGTTGGCTGCAGCATCCACCCGGTGATGAAATATTTCGACAAGACAGGATCTCTGTATTTGAGGTGTGTTTTTTTAGAACTTTGTTTTTTGTGAGGGAATACATATGAGTGAGGGGAATTCAGTTATGTCAGTGATAAATCGATGCCGATATATGCCAGGATATTAAATCCGCCATCAGCTTTTTTCTAAGTAATCTTCAAAAAGCGAAGTCAACAACATCGTTGCAAGTGGGCGGTTGCTGTTGACAGTTGCCGGCCACTTCTTATAATGAATATACGAGAGGGGGGAGGAGGGGAGATGAGGAGTTGGGGGGTAGGGAGGAAAGGAAGGTGAGGAGGAGGGGAAGTAAGAGAGACGGATGGGGGCGGAGGTTTAATTTTTGAACTGAACTGATAAGATATTGTAAAGATTGCCGAACGAAAATTATGCATCCAATGATTTTTCAGGTTGATGGAGAAATTTCCAAGATGTACTGCCAGAATTTGTGCCATTTAGCGAAATTTTTTATTTATCATAAAACGCTATTATTAGATGTGGAACCATTTCTGTTCTACGTTCTCATAGTATGGGATTCGACGGGTCCTCATTTCGCGGGCTACTTCAGCAAGGTCTGCTTTCTCTCTCTCTCACTTTCCTTTATGATTTTTTGCATTTCAATGAAAATAGTTTAAGTTTCTGTTCAGAATCGAAAGACCTGGCAGACTGTCCCCGGCTTTGTTTTCATTTTCATTACTAATTTTTTATATTCACTTTTTTTTAATATTTTACCAGTTGAAAGACTGTTTTCTGTAATTTATGATTTTAGCAAAAATATGGTTCACTAAATAATTTGTCATGTATTGCTACGATGCCGACATATCAAGGCAAGGGATATGGACGTTTCCTGATCGACTTCAGTAAGCATTAATTGTCTTTTTTTAAAGATCTTGGATTACACTTTCTGGTCTCCAGCTATGCATCTAACTAATTTTCCATTCACTATGACCACTGGTGCATTCGTCGCCTATTGGTGGTTATGAAATTTGCTTTTTTTTTCTCGAAAAGATTACCGGCTCAGCGTTTTTTCCTGCAAAAAAACACTTTGTGAGACATTATTCTTTTTGAAGTAGTTTTTTTTTTTCGAATTTTTTTCATTATTTTTTTCGAAATAGTTTTTTCCAAAAAAAAAATTCGAAAAAAATTTTTTTGAAAAAAAGTTATTCTGAAATAGCCCTGTGTGTGTTTGAGCATCGTTAGCTTTTCCCGAACAATGTTAGTCTTAGAGTACGATGTTATTTTATCAGCTTAGGAGATTTTGAATGTAAAATTTTGGTAAATTTGCTATTACTATTATTGCAGGTTTCCTTCTCTCTCGACGTGAAGGAACCACCGGAAGCCCGGAGCATCCTTTGTCTGCACTGGGCAAAATAGCATATCGAAGTTACTGGAAAAGCGCCCTTTTGGAATTTTTCAAAAGTCCAAAGCTGAACCGCATGCTTCTGTCAATGGAAGGTTTGGAGAATTTTATTTCATTTACCACTTGCAATACTTTTTACAGTGCCTGACAGTGCTGTGCTTTTCGCATTAGCATGTATTAGACTGCCGTGTGAACCCTACTTTTTGTTGATTTTTTCAATATTTTTCAGAAATTGTCTTCATTTTTATTATTTTTGTTCTTTTTTTGCAGAGATTGCGAAAGCGACAGGAATTGCAGAGAGCGATGTTGTTGCAACGCTGGAAGAGTTGGAAATGTTAGGGCGCGATGAAAAGGGGAAAATGTAAGTTGGATATATATGTTTACTTTACATATTAGTGTAGAAGGCTGTACTGATGATTTCTCTTTGCACTGCTTTTTAAGGAAATTCCTTCAGCTTTTTTGTTGTTGTTGTTGTAAAAAGTTATTTTGGCTTTTCAGAGAATCTTTAATAATCAATAGTGATCTGGTGGAAGCCCATTGGGAAAAGGTTCAAAACGACCCCAATCGAATTTGGATCAACGAAGATAATTTAAAGGTAATTGCTAAGTTAGAGATTTTGTAATGTTTTTATACATTATTCCTTTGTGGATCCCTACTTTTTCGAAATTTTTGGGGCTTTTTTTATACTTTTTCGGGATCTTCCTGTAAATTTTTTCAAAGCTACTTTCCTTTTTTTAGTGAATGTAATTTATAAAAATCTTAATAATTGATAATATGAATAGAAGTGTTTCGGCCCATTAAATCGTACACATTACTATTCAGCGCCACAACTGGGCCTCTTCTTATGGCCGCTTGATGTGCCTTGATCGAACTTCGTAGGTTTTCTCATAACACATGATGATCTCATGAGATGTAGCCAGAGACCCCTTAGCAGTTCTTTGCTTACTTAATATAAATGGCTTGCAGACTTAAAATTGTCACTGAGTAGGTGGTGGTTATCCAGAATGATCGCATGCATGAAATTATTCCATTTTCTATATAATTCCCCCCCCCCCCCCCCCCCCCCCCCCCCCCCCCCCCCCCCCCCCCCCCCCCC